AGTTGGCTTTTAAACTGGTTTCTGAGGGCAGTGTAGAAAAGGCCAAATAGCAGCAGAGGAAATGTGGCAATGACCCCACCACCACCACCCCGTTACTGAAATCTAGGAAGGTTCAATTTGAGGGAACGGACTCAAAATAAATGGTGCCCCAACAATCACAATTCATCAGTAGGTGGTTCCCAGTGTCCTCTTCACATTGGAATGAGCTTCCAGCTGCCACTTTCTAATACGAGTACTAAATGTTTTCTCACTTGAGCAGAGCTCATGCCATGAGACTGGTGATTGTATATAAAGATGTTTCCTTGGTTTGAATGGTGTTGAAAATGGATTCGGCAATGAATCATGGAACACTACATCAAAAACTAATGATGTAATGTATGGTGATTAACATAACATAATAAAATAAAATAAAATGGATTCGGAATTTAACCATTGGGGCAAGCCACTGGTAAACTGTCTAGCACAAGGTGAAGGATTAAAGGCATGTCTCATGGTCCTGTGGAAGGATAGGGATGCAGACTACAAAATCCAGATGGGAGCTACTAACACATGGTGAACTACAAGTACATAAGTAAGGAGAGAAGCTCAGCATGGGGAGCCTGTAAGGACCCATTGTTCACCAGTGTCCAGGCTTGAAACATCGGTGGTTCAGAGGAAAAAATGCTGACTCTACCAAAACACAAACATAGCATAGGAACAGAGTTAGTGCCCACCCAAGAGCATGGGCATCAGCTTTTGAATACAGCATGTTTTAATAGAAGACTTTGGTTTACAACATCTGCTCCCCTTTACTAAAGGGCAGTTTTGAGACCAACGTTATCTTTTTGGCTATTAGTAAATCTCTCCTGGGAAATGTCCCTCATAGTCTTTTCTTAGTTCCCCATCTAGGAAAGGGAAAGAAAAATATTTAAGGCCATAAAGTACATCAGACAAACCCTGCTAATAATGAACTCTAAAAACTGTTCAAATTCTTTGCGTATCCTGGAATTTTATTGAAATTAATTTGACCTTGATCCTTTGATCTCCAGGGACCTTGGTGTTCTGTTCAGCAACATAAAGGGAAGGTCACTAGATGAACTCCAAGAGCCCTTGAGGGGACAGCATTCTGAATTTCTTTGGATCTCTGAATATTACTTGAGAAAAGGCAGTCACTTGAGGTTTAAACACTCTGTGTGGTCTTTGAAGCCAAGACACTGTCTTTAGTTTCTTTTGTAAAATGCAGTGTCTTGTATATTGTTGAACACTCAGTAGGTTCCGAATGTATAACTGTTGCCTGGACACTAGAGAAAATCAATTATAATGATCTTCTTTCTAATAGGTCTGAGTTATGGTACTCTCTAGGCATACTTGCATCATATTGTAATACTATAAGTATTTTAGATACAGTATAATACACTGTGGATCTGCCCAAGTGTTTAGGATCCAGGACAGAAAATACACCACTAAAATACACTTTTATAGTGGGAACTGTAATTTTTCCACATGCAAAACCACACAAAAAGGTAGTCAAATAAACATGAGGGAATTTTACAGAACAGCCTAATAAATTCTAAAATAATCTTTATTTTTGTGTGTTTCCTGGTATAAAACAGGCCCAGCTTGTTTGAATTTCCTACATAATAAGCCCTGCCTCTGTCATTGATTTCTTCTTGTGTCATTCTCTTTGTAGATATCTATGTTAAAGTGAATTGAAAGTGGCCGGTTAGCTCAGTTGGTTAGAGCATGGTGCTGATAAAGTGAATTGATTAACAATATGCGTTAGATATACACTGCATATGTTTAAGAGTTAAATTGTCAATTTTTCAGACATAGTTTAGTTTATTAAAAATTTTAAAGCTAGGGGGAGCCTGGGTGGCACAGTCAGTTGAGTGTCTAACTTGTGGTTCCGGCTCAGGTCATGATCTCAGGGTCATGAAATGGAGCCCCTGTTGGGTTCTGAGCTCAGTGCAGAGTCTGCTTGAGATTCTCTCTACCTCTCCCTCTGCTCCTCCCTCTTGTGCTCTCTATCTCTAAAATAAGTACATAAATCTTTAAATATATATATATAAAATAAAAATTTCAAAGCTAAAAAATTTTAAATAAAATAGATTTCATAATCAAGAACACGTAAGTCAAAATCATAGCAAAAATAAATAAATAGAAGATATGTACAGAAATCTGTGTTAGTTTTCAAAATGCACCTACTCTATTAAATATAGGGAAGGAAGAGGTGGCTCATGGAATGTTCTAATACAAGCAGCTTTCTATGGCAATAAAGCTAAACTCAGGTTTAAGCAGAACATGGTGAACATTCTAGAAGGGAAGATAAGCATAATTCAGGAAATGTGACTCAAAGTAGGGGTTCACTAGATCGGTTCTCAAGGTTCACCAGTCCTCAATGAAAATTCCTCTTTAAACTTTGTGCTTTCACTTAAGTAATCACCTGCAATATTAATGTGAACTACACATATTGGAGCCTCTGGAGAGCCATTTTATAGCACCACTTTGCCAGGGGTTTTAGTTCTGCCTTTGTATTTGAGTTTAGAACTAAGCTCCAGAAACATTGCATTTATAGTCAGAAGCTAAAGTGAAAATGACAGAGGGAGACTTAATATACAAAGAGTTTGTTCACATCCAGTGGAGACCAGCTGGCATTACATTCTCCAGAAGAAATAAGGTTTTCCTGTTATTCAACCAGAGGAAATCGGTAGTCTTAAACTGAGCACGTAAGACCAACCCACAATGACTTCTGCCATAGCAGTCAGGGCCACATTTATAGGGCTGTTTTGTTTTAGCCAAACCAACTCATTCATCATATTAAATTAATGATGTTAATTGAAATTGTGCTATTTTTCTAGGACTTTGCTATTTAATTTTAAATGTGTTTTGGTTTTGCACAATTCGCAGCGGTTTTATAGCATAGTATAAGAATTCCAAGTTTATAAAAGCTCTGCCATGTGTTCTGCTTGTATATATTTAAATAGCATAGTAATAAAAGTAGTTTAGATTGATGCTGGAGTTTATTAGAATGTTGTTTTCCCCTTTATGTTAAAACCCAATTCAACCATGAGAAAATACAAAACAATATAAGAAGTAGTTTCTACCCTGAAGTTACTTACAGTCTTTGAACTAGATCTCATGGTCTTCTACATTGCTTCTTCAAAAAGCTAACTTCAATTGGATGGGCTAGATCAACATATTAATGATAAACCCTTAATTTGCTCAGTGGAGTTAGATAGATCTTGGTACACACCTGCCTGCCCTTTCCTAAATGTGTGAGCTTGGGTAAGTTACTTTGTTTCTTCTCTCCACTTTAACATCCTCATATATGAACTAAAAATTCACATATTGTTTTGACAATTAAATATTCATAACAGGGTGCCCTCTTTGAACAAGTTATAGAGATCAGCCCCTTTAATTACATAATCTTATTTAATCCCTCCCAAATTATCATTCCCATTTTACAGAAGAAACAGGCCAACAGATGTTAAGTCAGTGGACCAAGGGATTACATAGCTAGTGCATAGTTGAGCTTTCCAGGATCTGAATGTAGACTGGACTGATAAATCCCAAATTCTTCCCCACTATGTTTTTTGGCCTAAAATGACTTAAAGTACTTACCATAGGTCTGGAGCTTAGTAGACACTCAGTAAATATTATTTCCTCTCTTAAAGAAAATGATTCACATTCCTCCTGTTTTTATATTTCTTTTCATCCGAGCTACCAAAAACTTAAGATCACCCTCTAGTGATTAGTCACTCCAATTGCAAACTTTTGATCCCTGAAGTTTAAGAGTGAAAGAATGTAAGTATGAAGGAATTCATGCTAGGCCATATAAATATGAAAGTATGAGAAAAGGTGCTATGTTATGATTTATCATTATTTTGCGTAGCATATACCCAATTGCTGGCCCCTTAGACTGTTCTATTATTTTTTTTCCCAATAAACAAATGCCCACAATTTCTTTGATTGTAAAATAACCTCTGAGTTTTATTAACTGGAATTATATTTACCAAAGTATGATCAGAACAAAACATTTTCCCCAAAATACATATTAATAGACCATTGGGATCATTAGAACTCATTGTTGATGATACAAAAGAACTCAGGCAAACTTCTTTCCGTGGTTTAATTCAATACCCTCTGAGGTGCCTCGTTAGCACAGTAGGTATTGTGTCAGTCTCATAATTCAGTACCCTCTGTGCTGAGGTTTTGGTTACAAAGCTCAGAATGACAAAGTCCTTAGGTATGTGAGGTATACTAGCCAATTCAATAAGCCTTCATAAAACCTTTGTTTTAGGCTATAAGGACAAATTATATTAATTAGTGCTATAAGCTAAGCAGGATTTATAAGGCAAATTTCAGATCCAAAAACAAAAGGTAGCCATTGTTTATAACAGACAGAAATGTCATCTAGTAGAAACTCAGCAATTCCCACAAATGATTTTATTTTATTGAGAGAAGCTATACTGATCAGGACAGAATAATATCTCTTTTCTTTTCCAAAAGAGAATTAATAATGAGATTCTATGAGTTTAGCCAGTAGGACTTTCTTTTACTATAACATCTAATAGTCATTTATAGGTCAAGAGTGACCATCTCTTTTAACTGTACAAATATTCCTTGGTACTGTTAAACAATTGAGGCTTTGCTTAGGCAAGCTAGCACAGGGCTTTCTGGCCCAAAGCTGGGACTGGCACCAAATGAGTTCCACTGACACTCGGTAGGGTGTGATGAACAGTCTGGAGCTCCCAGGCAACCTTTCACAGCATGATTTGGAATCCACTTGAAATTACATATGACTGGTGGAGCTTCGTCTGGAGAGGCCTAATCAGAATTTGTCTTCCATTCAGTAGAAATAAAATGAGCCCATTCATTGTGTCATAATTCATCTCTATACTACAGAATGAACAATAACCTAAAATCAATGCCAACTCACTGGAGTTGGCTTCCACGCTTGAGAGATTGCTCCCCAGAATGTTTTATACATTACTTTCATCACTCTGTGTTTTCTATTTCAGGGCCTACTCTTCCCAAGACTCATGTTAAAACAGCCTCTCTTGGGTTGGCTGGAAAGGCAAGATCTCCTTTGCTTCCTGTATCTGTGCCAACGGCCCCTGAAGTATCCGAGGAGAGCCACAAAGCAACAGAGGATCCAGCCAATGTAAGGCTATCCTTGAAATTTATGCTGCGTCAGGTGAAGCAGTGACCATTGCTATACTTAAAAACCAATCTTAAAAATCAAGCAGATTTAAAGAATGTGTGACTTTACATACATACATACACATACAGGTATATATATGTATTTCCTTGCAATGGGTTGACATACCTTGGCATTTGACTACATATATGATGATTCTTTAAAACAACAACAACGAAAAAATAGTAACAAAAGCTGTACTCTGAAAACTTTTCTGAAGTTATCAGACACGTCGCTTCTAAAATCACACAGTAGCCTAGAAATATAGAATTGAGAAGAAAAAAATACAAAATGAAGAAATGAAGGCAGGAGTTTAAGAAGAAAAAAGAGAAGGAACTGACATAATTAGAAAATAAGAGGAGGGGGGGGCGGAGCAAGATGGCGGAGGAGTAGGAGACCTGGATTTCGTCTCCTCTCAGGAATTCAGCTGGATAGGAATCAAACCATTCTGAACACCTACAAACCCAACAGGAGATCGAAGAAAGGAATAGCAACAACTCTCTCATCAGAAAAGCGACCACTTTCTGGAAGGTAGGACGTGCGGAGAAGTGAATC